CTTCTGTAATATTTCTGTTTCATAATTCACGTGGTGAATCCACAGCTTATGGGGGCCTGTTTCACAAGACAGAGACCTTACAATGTTTTGTAAAGAATCTTTGCAAATCGCCTTTCCTAATAATGTGCTAATTAGCAAGTTTCAGATGAATGCCGCTAAAGTAAACAGTCCCTCAGAGAGCAGGTCGGAAGAAAGGGGCGGGGTCAGCAGAGCTCATTTGCATTTAAAGGGACATGCAACAAAACGGCTTGATCTGAAATGAGTTGTTTTTGACAGGGTAAAAAAAAGGTGTTTTTTTTTACACTACCATTGAGAAATTTTGTTGTATGTTACAGACCTTTCATTAAGACCCTAAAGAATCATATCAACTTGTGGAAAATGGGCATCCGATGACCCCTTTAAATAAAAAGCGCAAATACTTTGTTTCCTTTTCCAAGGTTTTCTGAGAATGCAGGAAAAAACAAATTCAAATGAAAAACAAAATTCAACATGCAGAAAATATAAGTAGCATATACTGTTGTGTTTACAGTTAATAGCTTCTATTTTTGGACAAATGCAAGTGTAGTGTGACATATGTTGTGTTTTATGTCAGTTCATATTGAACACTCAACTTTACCTTTGTCATTAAAGTGTTTTTTTTGGTCATTAGGGATGTTAGATTGTTGAGAAAAGTAGAAAATGTTTCTTGTTTTTGTCAGTGGAATTGAAATGTGGATAATATTCCAGTCTTTATATACTATAAGGTCATCTGTTGTAATCATGGGCAGGTTTGACTCCTCTGGAGAAGTCTTTGGGTCCGCTCTCTTCTAATTAGGTTCTGTAAGAAAAGAAGCATAGAAAGTAAACAGTGTAAAAGAGTTCCTATCAATCTAATAATTAATTTAGTCCCCCCACTACAGCGATTGGTAACTATTCACAATAAATTATGACATGCTGACAAAGACAGAAAAACTGCATAATTCAAACAAGATGCAAAGAACATAAAACTTTTCTTTTACAATCTCTCTTTATTAGTAAGACAAATATTACTTTAAAAGACTTGACCTACTTGAGCAACAACACTGAAGGTATGAACGACCATCTATTCTTTGCTGGTGATGTGTAGTTTATAAAATCCATAATGTTCAGGTGTGATGCTTGTGATGGTGAGAGATCCTGTATCGAGGTTCAGTTTCAAACTGTCTTTGAATTGTTGAATTGTTTCATTATATAGGTTTACCTCATTGTTTGTTTTATTCAGCGTAGCTATTAAAACAAATTTAGCACAACTGCGTTCTTTGGAATCTGCAAACTTCCACCATATCATGTCAATTTCCCGTATTTCAGTAAGATCAGTGTGTAGCGTGACAGATTGTCCCTCAATCACTGGCATTGATGTGATTTTATCTTCCTTAAGAAGCACACCTGGAGAACAAATAGAAACCGTTTTTTAGATGGAGATTCGAATTCTGTTTCCATCCATGTATTTGTATGCAATGTTTGGGGTATCGCCTTAAAAACACTTGAAAGAAACGACAAGATGAACAGAAAACCTTAAAATGTGCAAGTTATAATTTGCGCCAGTTTCCCAGGAAGTGACAATGAAAAAACATGTGGGATGGAAACTGTGTTTTATTCGCAAATATTTCATGCAATATTCCAATTTAATTCACAACTTTGGATGAAAACAAAATCTTGTCCAACTAAGCTTGCGACTTCCTACAGCCCATATAACAATAGTTTCTTGTTCGTAATTTCAGTCTTTAAACACATGACATACACTGTAAAAAATGATTGTGATTTTAACAGTAAAAGACTGTAAAAATGCTACAATAAAAACCTTTTAATTGGTTATCAGCAAGTTTCCATACTATATACGGTGAATAACTGTAATTACATTTAATGTAATTTTACGGTAAAATACTGTTAAAATTACGGTTTTGGCAGTGAAAAAGAAAAAGTCATTGTATAATTTATAGTGAAAAACTGTAAATGGACACTCCCAGAATTCCCTGCATGACACTTCATATTTTATGTTTTTTCGTTGAAATAACTGTGTTTCTTCTTAGTGTACGATAGGTTTTTATCTTACATCTAATGTTGTTAAATTAATGTTTATTGCATTATTTCAGTATCATGTGTGTTACCATGTGCACCTTCTATGTATATATATATATATATATTTCCCTTCTCAGCTTTTGGAAGAGCTGAT